CTCCGTTTTCAGTTGTCCCCCTCCTACAGTGCGGCTATTGCCAGTATCACTCCACCCCCTTTTAACAATAGGTGTTAATTAGGTGTCAACAATAGCCATGTAATGTGAGTATCAGTCACATGGAGGCAGTGCTTAAAAGCCTGAATTTTGCCTGAAACTCTCTGACTGAAGAAGTCTCTTGGAGGAGAGACGAAGCGTTTCATTAGAGAAGAACCCGTCCAGAAGACCTAAACAATTTTTTCTTTCACTTTGTTTAGCATATTTTCATTAGTGTCTCATTGCAAAATGAAGGAAAGAAAGTTTAAAAGTCCCAATATTGTTTACAGAAATGCAGTACCATCTCAATGTTGTGGTTTTTGTCACAGCAGTACACATAAAAATAAATGTCCCAATAAATCAGAAAAATTCTAGTTCTAACTAAACAGAAGTTTATTAAAAATGACATTTTAAAGTGATATTTTATTTTCATGCAGAAATTCCCTTTATCTCTCATCAATGCTAAAACACATTACAACAAATATGCAAGTCAGCACAATTTAAAGAAAAGTTAAGACTTGAAATGCTTGTTCAAAATTATGAACTCACCGTGATTAGATTGAAAACAAAACATTTCCATAGCCAGAAATATTTTAATTTGATTATTGGATAAAACAATTGTTTGCTCATTATTGCAACATCCAGAAGTTGGAGTTTTTTCCTCCTGATAAAACAAAGTTTAATAATTATTGTCTCCAATCATAACTAACTCCTGAAGACACCGTCTGCTCCACTGACCACAGCTGCTTGGTCAAACTATCAAAACATGTTTAAGTGGAGTTCAGTGAAAGAGTTATGAACAATTAATATCTTACCTGCTGCAGATATTGCCTCAGCTTGGAGCAACAGTTTTACACCCAACAGGACTGACAAGCTAACAGCTCTGACTGCAGGGCAAAACTAGTCCACTTCAGAAGTGGGTCAACTCAGACTTTAATGACCAATGATTGGCTTGTCCAAGCAAAACCAGTTCCTAAGTGGACCAGTGTCATCTTAAAACAACTCCAGTCTTTTACATGTCATAATGATTCTTGCAAATGCTCTTTTGCAAACTTTTACATTGACATCAGTTTCACATTATCTGGTTATTTCAGCAGAAATATTCTCTATTTCCAGTGCAGGCTGCACTGGAAGTGTTGCAGCTGTTATGTAAACCAGGAAATTCTAAGTGAATGATCGTGTTCTGGAAAACTGACAGCAGTAGAAGTTTTCTGAATCTGAATGAACTACTGAAACCGTTTTAAGATGGCAGCACCTTTAGTTTCATCATGTGCTTCACAGTCTTGTTGATGGTTCACCATTTCACTTAACTGAGGTTGTTCAAAGCGTTCATAACTTTTCCACAGAACACTTCTTCAAATTAGCCAGATAATCCCTTTAAGAGCATTTTTTAAGTCTTAAAGAAAAGCAAAGTTAGAGCAGCGACGCTGAATCAGCAGTGGCAGCAGGACAACTGGTCAAATAGCAGCAGAGAAATCATGAATTTAAAGAGAACAGATTTGGTTTGACTGATTAAAACTAATGTAACACTGAACCAAAACAAACAGCAAAACAATTTCATCAGAAAGCATCAATATCATGAAGTTTAGGGTGCAACCATTTTTTCCCTTAATAGAGTCATTGCTACAATCTTAGGCAAACTATTTTTGTAAATAAATTTTCCATACAATACAGGCGACTTAAAGCCCACATTTTTCATCTTTACCAACCAAGCAGCTGTTTCTGAGTTTAAATACAGTTCGTCTCAGAGCTGTTTGGTGTCAAAGATCGGCGGAAGCAAAGGTAATCAGTAACATTTTTAGAAACTTTGATCTACAAAATACATTTCTGAATTACATAAAATAAAAAGATTTAAAAAATCATTTTTTTGGTACTACCCTTAGAACAAATACAAATGCATAAATTGCAGTCATGGGGGGGGGAATCAAACCTATTTCAATTCTAAGATTTTATGCATCAGGACATAATAAAATGATCTGGTCTTTACTTCAAGTGAACAAAACACCAAAAACAGATTTCACCAAGTTTGAAAATTGAAAATCTGTATTCTACAGCTTGTAGAAACATCTTCAGCTCTCAGTGATTTTCTATGACTTCACCACTCTCTCGCATTGTTTTGGAGGAATTCTGGCCCATTTATACTGAGGTTTGCAGACTTTAGTTTCTGCTCAGCTTCCACGTTATTCCATACAGCTTGAGGTCTGGACGTAGGCTGGACTAAAACACCTTGATTCCTTTCTTTTTTATCTCTTCTGTTGCAGATTTGCTGCAGAGTGTCTGTGTATTATATGTAAATGTCTCTACTTTAGTGTCATTTGTCCAAAGGAAGTTGTTCAAAAAGTCTTGTCTTTCAAACAAGCCACATTTGTTCAGTGTTTGTCTAATTGTCCTGTCATGAACCTAAAGGTTTTACCTGTTAACACAGGTCTGTGGTATGCAATGGGAGTTTTTGCAACATCTTTGGTCATTGCGCAGTCTGGCTTTGGGGTGAATTTGAGATGTTCACCTCTAGGAAGGCTACCAAATATCTTTAAATATTATACACTTGTGAATAAACCTTTACTCTGTTGAAATATTTTGAAAATGACCTTTAACCCCTACAGATTGATGAGCAGCAACGATTGCCTCTCTCAGGAATTCCTCCTTGACATTGTGTAAAAACAAACCTGTATGCTACAGAACAGCAAAAAGCCACAATTTCAGCTTTTATAACGGAGCTGCACTGATGATGATCGGGTAATCAAGTGCATAAAGCTTCTACTTTCCCTCCTACATCCTATGGAACAAGCTAAATGTGGACTTGGCTTTTCCATTTTGAATTTGTTATTGTTTAATAAATAATGGCATTGGTGCTTTTGTACATTTTAGTTTGAATCAGAAAAAAATCCTAATCTTTAAATATCTAATATTTTTATTATGTCGTAATACATAAAATCCCAGAGTTGAAAAAGAGTGGACTTTACTTTGTTCCACAACAGTAACACGATTCTGACATAAAGTGAATGATCAGAAGCTGCTGTGGTTTGTAATAATTGCAGCACAAAAACTGAACAGATCCTTGGCTAAACTCTTCTCCAGGGGCTTCATGTATGAAAAAGTTGCGCACACAGTGCTCCACACACGTCGGGATGTATTTTTAAAAAATGAGTGTTGTGTGAAAGTGTGCGTAAACATACACAAACTCTTGACCTGTGGTGAAACTGTGCAGCTCTGTCCACGAGGCCCCAGATTTGATTCGCTCTTAACGACTGAGCGATCGCTTCTCACATAAAAAACTGTGCAACTAAGTTGGCCACGCCCAGGACGATGAGGAAACTGTGGAAAAGAGCCGACGGCCAGCTGAGTCGTCCCTGCTGTTTCAGCGACACCATGTGGATCAGGGCAGGAAACAAAAACACTAATGCCAATCCACATATTGCTCCAGAGTATCTGCAAAGGAAAACATTAAAAACCAGTAAGAATGTGAGCTGTACATGAAAGCTTCTCCAGTATTTTGTACAAGATCGACAAATTTTAATGATGAGGGTTTTGGAAATAAGCTGAGTTCTGAGTGTCCTCTGCTTTGAGTCGGTAATTACTCTGAAATGAGCAGAGCTTCACTAAACGAACTACAGATTCATTGTGCGTTCTCGTTAGGTTTAGTCTGTTACAGAACATAATATAGAAAGGATTACTAAAACAACGTTATACGTACCGTATAATAGATCCAATGTTGGGATAAAACTTGGCCATTACAACACCAGCTCCAACAATTATGATGTTCAGTGTAAGAATGTGAAAGAAACTGAAGAGAGAAATGATATATGAAATAATAAAGGCTGATTAATTTTAGTGCTGCATGGGCATAGATGAAAAATTTTAATCGCAATTAAAATCTACAATCACGTTACTATGGCTGAATACTGTATGTAGGTCTGTAAATTGCGATGCACTCAGTGCATGCCAGGACATGTTTGTAAATGAGAAGTGGTTCTCAAACAGTTTGCCTGGATAAATAAAGGTTAAATAAAATAAAAAAACTCCATGTCTAACACATTATGTACAGTTTTTTTTTTCCTTTTTGGCTTCTTATGGCTTATTTTATTTTATTTATTTATGTTTTGCAGACAACTGTGACCTTAGTATCTATCTTTCATTCACTCATTTGAAATGAAAATCCTTGAATTCTTGATTTAACCATTTTTCTGCACAAAATTTAACTGACTCAATTATGTTTGGAGCATTTTTAGGTCTCGTTTTATATTCAAAAAATCATGTCTAAGCATCAATTTTGATTTCCAAATAAAAACATTAAAAATTAATAACTCAAGTAATTTATTTTCTCAATATGCAATAGAAATGTATATTAAATTTAAGATTAATCATGATTAATTCACAGCTACTTTGGGATTAATCAGATTAAAAATATTAATCATTTAACAGCCCTAGAAATAATATAAAATCCTGCAAACACTGCTGCCTCAGATCCTCATATTGTTAAATATATTCATTGGTTGTGGAAGCACACTTGTACATACTGGTTTATAACTCCAACGTGAACCTTTTAAAGGTAGTCACAAAATGCCTTATGTAAATAAATAAAAAAATAAAATAAATACACTAAGTCAGGAATCCACAATAATTGAGCCAAAAACTACATGTTCATGGATCATTTGGTACCAAGCCACACACAAACAAAAACTACTGTTTATAAAAGATAAATGGTTTATATACAGTACAATGATCTGCAGGTTGGTTTATTATAAAAACTTCACATTTCCACATTTTTCTGCATACTCGGTTACTTTTTGCATACTAAAAAATAAAAAATTGAAGCAAAGCAAAAATGAACAGAAATCTAACTTTACTGCAGAACTTTGGCTCCTCCCACTGGGAATGTTGTCTTGTATTAAATGCTCAACTGTTTGTTGCCAGCAGCTGGTAAAACAACTCACCAGCTACATGGTTTAAACTGCTCTGGGGCCAAACTAATATTGATTAAATCAAAAGCAGCAATACTAATGGAAATCCAGTCTAATTAAATGCATTTTTATGAACTTGTGAACTCCAAATGTACATTTTCAAAATATAGTTAAAGTATATATATATATATTTTTACCTGGGATAATGCCTTCCAAAGATCTGACCCATAATCTGGACTCGTACCAAGTATCCCAAAAGCGGATAGACCGTGATCATTTGAAACAGCAACAGGAATCGAGCCACAAACACCAACTTGTCACTGCAGGGGAAGTTATCTAAAAAGTTCTGTAAAAGAATCACAGTGTTGATTTTTCTAGAAGAAATCTTGAGATGCTGAATTTACTGTAGCTGTAAAAAGACTATGATGCCACCTGGTGGTCCCTCTAAAAAAGCTCTTCTATAAAATCATACACACTTGAACATGACAACTTCCTTTCTAAAAGTTTCAAAAATAAATAAGATTTCATATGAGATGGATCTGCACAGATCTATCCATCCATCTCTATCCATTCATTTTAGAAAATCAAGGAGCTTGCCAAACAATAAATGCAGAATCTGGTGCAGGAAGAAGGACTAGATCAGTGTTCAATCCTGGTCCTTGGGGCCACGATCCTGCGTGTTTTGTTTTTCTCTGCTTCAACAAACCTGATTCAATGGTTGAAGTTCCTCTCCAGGTTCTGCAGAAGCTGTTATTCACCTTTTGATTCAAATCAAGTGCATTGAAGCAAAGAAACCTCTAAAACATGCAGGATTGTGGCACTCGAGGACCACGATTGTACTCATCTGGGCTAGATCCAGAAACCAAAATGTCAAAACAAAAACTTAATTGTTCATCTTACTGGTTCAATGCACTCTTTGGAAAGAGGAGGCGAGGGAAAAGAAGCAAAGATCAGAATCCCCACATACAGATAGGTCAGCCCAACAAGAAGATATGCCACAGACAGGTCCCGGACCTGAAAACATTCAAAAAACAAGCACATAAAACGAGAATCCAGCATTGTTCAAGTCCCATAACATAACAGTTCTACAAGTGTTTTCAGTGCTTTTGTTACTTATAAAGGAGGACACTTCATTTACAAGCACCTGTAATGTTTACAGGCCTCTTTTGTTGCTGCCCTTACATGATCGTTTGTGGTCTTGCTGTAAAACAAACAAGTCAGTTTAAATTTAAAACAAAGATGTTTCCTTGAAAGAAACATCTATAAACTATTGTAAAAATAATGTTATGACAGCTGCAGGATCATCACATCACATATTGTGTTCATTTCATTATTATTATTTTTTTACAATTTATGTGTAATTAAATCGTAAACCAATAAAAACAAGAACAGTGAGAGAGACGGACAACACAGATTTAGCAGAAGTTTACATTGTTTTCTTGGTTTTTGTTGTTCTTCATCAGTGTGATGATGCAGTTGTGAATGAAGAAGGCCAAAGTGAGAATACCAGTCAACTGAGGAAAAAACTCTCTGAATTCTGAAAAAAAAAGAGATAAATACAATATTTGTTCCAGCAAATATACCATAAACGTAAAACCACAAAAAGTTTATTTAATTTCCTGTATTGATCACAACTTAACATTTGATTTAAAAAAATGTTTCTATCAAAATTTATTAAAAGAAAAATGCTGAGTGTTTCAACAGAAAAAAACTTCAGCAGATGGCGCTTAAGTGAGTAAAACAGTCTGCTCTTTTTTTGGTCATAAAAACAGGAGTCTTAAAATGACTCCAGATTCACAGAGTTCAAGGAATTCTCAGAATCTTCAATGAATTAATTTTCCAAGAACACACAAACACAATGTTGACAAGTGTGTTGAAGAACTTTATGTGAGCTGTACTCAAAGTGAAATTAGGCAGAATTAACATCTGCTGAAGGTTACCTGGAACATAGAACTGAGACGAATCAATCCAATGGAACTCGAGGTGGAAACCAAGGAGGACAGCTTTAACTGTGACCAGTGCAATCAGGTAGATGACCGATATGGTGCCTGGGTCCAACACAAACACACGTGCAACAGGCAGCACGACCACCAATAAATACACACGTTACAAACATTTATCCAAAACTCTTAGTTTAGTGAAAGAATGTGTGTGACAATAATGTACACAATGCTAATTCTGCATCTTTAACCCTCAGACTGTTATTTAACTTTATGATGAAAGGAGTTCCTTTGGGGCAATAATAATAATAACCACCTTACATTCCTGATTCAAAATACTACATTTAAAATTATTTTCACACAAGTCCATCCTTTAGAGATATCTCAGCCTAGAAAAAAAATTTGAAATGATTTTTCAGTTTTTATTTTACTATATAATAGCCTTTAGTTTTAAAAATCTGCACAATTTAATTTTTTTGTTTTGTTTTTAAATTGACAAAATTATTTTACAGCATGGTCCTGATTTCAGTCAAGACAATAGGAGTTAGTCGTTCTTGTTTATGTGTCCTTGTTGAAAGTATGTTTTTGTTCTTTATGTCCAAACTGAAACTATTTTTCAGACGAGTTGATAGGCGGGGCTCCACAGCAACACGCAGCTGCAGAGGTACGGATTCCACTTAAGTTCCAACCACTTGGCAGGAGGTTTTCTGCTGCTCTCAAATATAAAATCAAAGCACCTCTGAGTGAACAAATATAAAAAAAAAATCTCCTGATGAATCTTAATAATCCAGAGGACCTGGCTCAACCTTGTTATAAAAATCAAAAGTATGGAGATAATTTATATGATAACTATGGAATGAAAACTGAATTTTATATGTGATTTGTATTTGGTCAATTTTCCCCATAAGGATCAATAAAAAGTGAAGTTACTTTGAGGTAATGGGGGTGTTTAAAAAAATTCCGGCATTTTTTTTAGAACAATTTTTAGGTTTTGTCAGAAACAACTGTTTTTATTGATGGCACCAAAAATAAACAAATGAAAACATGGAAAAAAATTAATGATTATTTTCCCCTTAAGATCTCCAAACGGTTAAATAAAGGTCATGGCTTAAAGAAAATGATAATATTTTATCTAATGTTCTGAGACTTCTTTACTCCATATCTAACGACCATGTTAGTCTCATAATAGCTCATAAAAACTGTGTTGACAGTAACAACAGCACAGAGAACTGTTAAGACACTTTGTGACAAGCCCTCAGACAGGATAAGAAAACATAAAAAAAAATCAAAAACCTTACCAAAGAAGGTGAACCTTGCGAAGAAGGATGCTGAGCGGAGGCAGAGCAGTGGCAGCAGCAGAATAATGAGGTAGAAAGGAACAGTGTTGGTTTTACTCCAATATTGGTCAAAAGACCCCGCATCTGAGGAATTCCCCATTTTGTCCAAGAAGAGCAGGCTGCTGGTGTTGTTTCTTCCAGGTTGGAATTTGGTGTATGGACAAATGACTGGTAAAAACAACAAAACATTAAACACACACTTCCATTAAATAGATCTTTTTACTCATTAAAAATAAGAATTTTAAACAATTGCAAACTGGATACATCAAGCATTATTTTTTTCAATTAACAACACCAAAAACAGAAGAAGAATATTGGTAGTTCACTAATTTATCTATTTTTCACTTCAGGCAGCATTTTGTTTGTCTTAGTAACTTAGTTTAACAGGTAAATTATTGTGTGTTTCAGGACAGTACCTTGTGAACACACGTGACCAGCCCTCTGAATGCAAGTTGGGTGCTGGGACAGTATATGCAGCATAAATAATAATAATATAAAATTTATTTGTTTAGCACCTTTTAATAATAGTTAAGAAGTGCTTTAAAATCACATAAAAAATCTTTAGTTTTTAAATTTTCTGCTTATGGTGCACAGTATTCTTTCTTCTCTAAGCCATGTCTTCTTTGTGACAGAATGTTGTTTACTCCATTGTCTTGCTAAAAAATATAAAACAAAAAAAACATGGATTTTCCAGGTATAGATGTAGCCTTGAAGGCTGCATAAGTTGCTTTAATTCTTTTCTGTACTTCTCTGCATAAAGTCTGCCATCACAAAAGTGGAAATGGGCAGTCTGCCCAGGTATTTCCTTGTAGTAAAACATGATCCAAAATTATTCAAAAATCGTTGACCAGGAGGAGGAGCATAACAGCAAAGAGAGGCGATACTTGGGCGGCTGTGGCGGAGTGGTTAGGGGAGTCGTACTGGAACCGGAAGGTCGCTGGTTCGATCCCCCGTCCAGCTGTCTCAGTCGTTGTGGGCAAGACACTTCACCCACCTTGCCTGCTGATGGTGGTCAGAGGGTCTGGTGGCGCCGGTGCATGGCAGCCCCACCTCTGTCAGTGTGCCCCAGGGCAGCTGTGGCTACAATTGTTGTTTGCCATCATCAGTGTGTGAATGGGTGAATGTCTGTTAATGTAAAGCGCTTTGGGTTCCGGAGGGACTTGAAAAGCGCTCAAGTTCAGTACCATTTGCCATTCAGTACCATTTACTCCAAACTCCTCCCAAAAGTCTGACCTTATCTTTAAGGCTGAGTCAGGACATTCATCCAATGACACTCACTTTAGCTTCTTATTTTTTCACTCTTTTAGTCATGATCCAAACCTTATGATCATAAGCAAGGTTTGGAATTTAGATGGACCAGTAACTAAAAACTTATTGAAATGTTACAGTTCTAGTGTTGAACTACTACTAAATAGCTCATTGTTGGAAATCAACACTGCAGACATAAAAGTAGAAAGCGTCACGGCACAGACCACTTACCTCTTTCTGAGCCGTTGGTTCCAAAGTCTGAGTCTGACGTGTTGATATTGTTAGCAAAGTCTAAAAAAAATAAATGAAGAACAAAAGCAAATTAGAAAAAAAATTGAATCTATAAACAAATATTCTGCAGGAAAATCTTAGGGAATTTATAGCGCCACTTTCTTCAATAAGACAAGACCCCTTTGTTCTAATTTTTAACATTCACAACATTTCAGATTTTGTAAATCTGAAACTCAGATATTGAATTCAGAAACAACAAACTGCTAAACTAAACACTTGTTTTAAACAAGAAATAAGAAAAAAGTATCTAGAATTGACTAAGAAAAGTTTTAAAGTAAGTTTTAAAAGGATCTTTTTAGGAGGAAAACAAAATCAGGAATGAATCTAATTTCTCTTCAAAATGTTTTCCAATAAACATTGGTACAAATGAATCATTCTAACAGGCGAGTTTTGAGACATTCTGCCATTTTCATACCTTCTGTGACTATAGTTACACTCCCAGGACTGCACAGGACTAATGTCAACAGATCTGACACGTTGCTCTCAGAAGGAAAGGGTGAATAATGAAAATGATTCAACATTATCCAGGGAAATCACAGGGTTTTGGGTTTCAGGGTTAGGACTGCAACTTGTTGGTTGTCTGTAAACTCGAGGCTGACCTCATAATGTGCTTCAACTGTGTGACTTATGCTGCGTTCACACCGAACGCGATTTCAGCTTCAAAATTGCAGCCAACCCTGAAGTTGGTCGCTTGTGCACTTTGAGGTCAGACGCAGGTCAGCTCTTGAAGCGCTGCACGGCAACAGCCTCCCCGCCCCTCCCTCCTCTGCCGGGCTCTGTTTAATGTCGGACGAGGAAGTGGCTTTGCTTTATTTACAGAGAGCAAGAGCATGTCACGTTCATCAGATAATTAATTCATAATTAATTCACCAGATAATTCAGAGACGTTCTGAGTTTTATCACCCAGGAGCTGCGGGAGAGGCTCACAGCTCGCTTTCAGGACTATTTTTGTCCCGAGTCCAGTCTGATGAGTCGCTGCCACGCATTGGTGCGGATATCTCCTGTCAGGACACCGACTGCAGGCACTCGATTTCAGCTAAAGAGCTCCTCTCCGTCTGTTTCAGGTTAGTGGACATCATTCAGTAAACTGTCCCGTCGGGAAATATGTCGCTACGTCACACAGTGGAGTCTCTCTGATTGGTTGACGCGGCGCGTCGAGCTGCAAAAGTTCAGATTTTCTAACTTCAGCGATTTGCGCCTCAGCACGTCGAACGCTCAGATCGTTCAAATCGTTCAAATTGCGCTGCTCTAATCGCACTTGAGGCGCCGCAGCACTTCCCGACGTTGCTTGAAGCGCGTCCACCATAGACTTTGCATGTAAACCTGATGCTCCTGATGCTGAAATCGCGTTTGGTGTGAACGCACCTTTAGAGTTAGAGAACTGACAGCTAACTGCGTTCAACAACTTCTGCAAACTGTCTATTAGCAGAGATGGCTGCAAACAGAGAAGGTGGAGGGTGGTTGAGTAATAAGTGGAATGTGTAAAATACTTGATGTTTTAGAAAAATAACACAGGAGAAACACCTTAGCCGAGTTGCTCAATCAATAAATTATTTTTACTGGTTAGTTGTGATAAAAGATCGACCAACAACTAAATCCCAGTTACAACTATTTTACTTTTATTTTATCTGACACAAATCCAAGGAATTGATGCTCTTTTATAAAAATCATTTCCAGAATCATGTAGGATTAAACTGCCTACTTTAAACTTGAAATGTGATTTGTACTTCAGTTTAAAAGAAGCTTTTTAGTTCAGTCAAGCGAGTCAACGCAAACAATAAAAATTTGCTTATTATCAGCAACAGTCAGCCAATGCTGACTCAGCACTTGACCTTGCAAAGAAGAATGTTGTTGAGCAAATGCAAACTAATCACTTAAAGTCATAACACACTGCATTACATCACAAATGAGTCAGTGCTGAAAACAATGCTGGTAGACTTTAAAGACTTTTCATGTCTGGACAGCAAGACCAGACATGAAAACCACAACAGCTATGGTGCACTTTTGTCATTTAGCTACTTGAACCACACACTAGACAAAATTTGTCATAACCAAATAACAGTACACAACGTAATTTGCATTGCACTTTGTGACTTACTGTAGATACCCTGCCCAGTGTTAAAGAGGAAGTTAGACATGAGGACCCAGTAGACCACCATGGCTCCAATGAGAGATACCATGGAGAAGATCAAGCTGGACCACTGGCCAAACTTTCCAAAGTAGAACCTACAAACGTCTGGGAATTCCCAGTTGGACGTATCCTCCATGGCTGAACAAAACAGAGGAAACATCAAAGTAGTGAATATTTTTTCTTCATGAAAAGATAAACTTTAGATCTATTTTAGTTTTTAGCTTGTTAATTTACAAACTACATTTTAAATGTTCTCATTGTAAAATTCAGTGCAATTACTTTATAAGTTACCAGATAGGATGTACTAATTTTTCAAACTAAATACAAATTGTACTACAACTATAGTATTGTGCAAAAGTCTTGAGTCACTACTCGTAATTTTATATTTTGTATCTAAAACTTTTGGAAGTGGTTTTAGCTTTGGATGGCTTTTAAACATTTTTCTCAAAAGTGGCTGCATATGTTTGTATGGACGTATGGATGTACGGACGGATGCATGCTTGTACAGATGCATGCATGTACATACACATGTACAGTATGTACATACGCATGCATCTGTACATGCATGCGTACATGCATGTATGTACGCATGTGTAGATGTTTAGGGTAAATTATTTTCACACAACAGAGAAATCTAAAAACACAACCTTGTCAGTGATGCCAGCATTGTCAAGATATTAGATTCTCTGAACCAGGAAGGAAATGACATTTACAGCTTCAAAGGGAAGTGACTAATGAGTGATTACTTCATTATACGTGTGGGTTAATAACAGTATCTGCAGGACTTTCAGTAAGTGGGATGTTGATATGTTGAAACTTATCAATGAAAATAAATGACATATTTTAGAAATTGGAAGAAGTCCCCAGATGTCTTTCATAGCATTTAATTTGTTCTACTGATTCCTGAATGTGTAAATCAAAAAGTGAATCAACAAATTAGGATCTGGTTTTCCTAATAAGAGAACAGATGAGCTATATGCGCTTCTTAGTACTAGGGCTGTGTATTGGCAAGAATTTGGCGATACGATACATATCATAACAGAGGGGTCACGATACGATATATCCCGATATATTGCGATACTGTAAGCAAGGCAATATATTGTGATATATTGTGATTTTTTTTGTCCAAAATTTCTAATAAATAAAAACCTCTTACTGAAAAAAAAAGGAAAAGCTAATGTTTACTTACAATGCTAATGCTACCCTTACTCTCTGGCGCTCAAGGAGGTAGAGGAGCCAAATAGCTGGCTCACTGCTGCCAACTAGTGGTCAGAGGCTGAACTACAACATAAAAATGAACGGTTGGCAAGACGTTTGACATTTTAAACCTTAATTAAAAATCGATACAGGGCTTTAGAATATCGGTACAGTATCGGGAAATGAAATATCGCAATATTTCAGTGTTTCGATATTTTCTTACACCCCTACTTAGTACTACATAAAAAATATTTGAATTTAGAAAACTGTACCAGTGTTGTGTTGCTATTGTGTACAAAATGCCACCTCACTCTGGTAAACCAGTTTTTAAAAATTGGTATAAATTAAAGGGGGGAAATAAGAAACACTGGCTAACTTACTGATGTACTTTGGCGATTTGATGACGATGTAACAGCAGTACAGCATGAGCAGGCCTATGATAATGAGGATGAGGATACCCAGAGTGAAACCAGCCTGAAGGGATAAAGTACAAAAAAAGGATTTTAATATACTCTCAGATTTAAAATAAAATGAGTGGCTTTGAACAAGCCAAGCAGATCGTGTGAAGAATGCCCTGTCACACTATAACGTTTTAGACAATGTATGCAGACTACGGAAAATTTTATTATGACTAATTTACTCATAGGTTATATATTGGATCTAATTGTCAGCATTGCAGTATGTATACGTCAAAAAGAGGGTTCCAGTAGATTTTTCTATTCCATTTTCCGTGTAGACATCTTTGGTGTTGGACAAAATTTTCATAAGTTGTCAAAAACGTTCTAGTGTGACAGGGCCTTAAGAAATAAAACCTCTCACCTGCTTAATACCCCATGGTATACTGAGTATCGATGTACCCATCATTGTGTTCCATATCGCAAAGCTGCAAAGAAAAGGAAAAACAATGTGATTAAAGTCCTAATTTCTTTAAACAAACATCCAGCTTAAGCTAGCTGGTGCTCGCAGGGCTTACATTGTAATAATACTGGGGTTTTTAGAGACTTGGCTGCTGTCTGACACTTTAAATGCTGTCCCAAGAGGGCTGTAGAAGTATATATCCTCTGGTGCAGGGATCACATGATCTGGAGGACTCTGAGAAGAAAAGAGGCAACAAATACTACAGTTAAAGTTTTAAATTGCTCAGTAACAAGTGTTTCATTTTGTCCCTCCCCCCTCAAAAACTGAAGGATTACAATAAAAGCTTTTTGTGCATTACTGGGTTTGGCACCAAATTAAAAAAGGTTTTAGGAAATAGGTCAACATAATTAGGCAATTCTTGATAATTATGGTAGGCTGCTACAGTTGTAACAAACAATAATAAAGTAACTTTATGACAAAGTGTACCTAATTTCTGTTGAGGTGGTCAAATCAAATCAGTAACTATTGATCGACATATTTTAAAGGTCTTTGTTACAGTCTTAAACGTTTTCCATAATCCTCTCCAATGTTATAAACGCCTGCCCTGGAAATATTATTATACTTGTATGTCCATTGCAATAGCAACTAAATGTCTGGACGCACCAGCAGTCTGTCAGAGGAGCCTGTCAGTCTGCCGTAGTACTGGAGTCTGCTGTTGAGGAGGGAAGCTTTTTCAGAGATTCTCTCCTGAGGATCATCTTCTACGATGTTCCGTGGCTTCACGTGGAAAGGCCTACAAACACACAAAAGAGTTATTGCATTAATTCCAGTATTTTTGAAGCACTTCCTATAATCAATTTAAACATCACAATTATACTTTTTTTCTTGACAACGCACACACATTTTGTGATAAACATAATTTTACTGTTGTACCTCATTTATTTCTATAGGTATTGGGAGGGTCCTTTTATTTTATTTATTTTTTCAGTATTTATTCCAGTCACAGAGAATTTACAGAGCTGCAATTTTCCTAAGCTACACTCTAAAGTTTAGTAATGCCGTTTTTTTTGTTTACACTTTTTATTTTCCAGTCAGCTGTTTGTTCCTCAGCGGAGGTTTTGGGAGCAGCAGCCTGAGCAGGGAGGTCTAGACCTCTTTATCCACATTCACCTCTTCCATTTTTTCCAAGAGGATCCCAAGGCGTTCTCAGGCCAACCATAAGAAATAATCTCTCCAGCGTGTCCCGTGTCTTCCCTGAGGTCTTTTTCCAATTGGATGTGATCGGAATACCTTCCTTGGGTCATGTCCAGGTGGCCTTACCATATGATCATCTAGGGTGGGGTCCTGATACGTCAACATAGGAGGATTTGTCTGTTCACGGCTTTAAACCAGATTGGGAGAAAGCCTTTTAACAATCCCCATCACCAGTACATACACATGAAATTTTGCTAGAAAGCAAATTTGACACCAATTATTAAGCACAAAATCGACATCGCTTCAGACCCCATTGCTCTTTCACCCATGTTGCTTGGGAATGTCTTCACATATTTATATCGTATCATTTATATATTTGACCTGGTGCAAACTTGAAATTCAATTAATTTCTCCATCCTTCTTATCTATTCACCACTGCCTGTGAAATTATCTTCTGTTGCTTAAAGTTTCACAGTGCTCTCTACACTCAAGATTTGGTTCCAGTTTAGATCTGATTTTAAATTCGTAACACTAGAATGCTGTTGTTACAGGGGCAATATTATGTGTTTCTCAGGCATACATTTAAATACTATACCATAATAAAGTATCTATGTCACTTTTAGTTGTTAATAAAATGCTGTTTTTATGTTTAAGTATAAAATAAACTTATCTTCTCATCACTTCCTCTTCTAAACACCTTGAAATTGGCCTGTCTCTTTAAGAACCACCTTTTGCTTCTGTCCCGTCCCATTTCAGTGCGGGGGGGGCGCGCGTGCGCTATGATGCAGTTTACTTGGCATCTGAAAATACATTTCCTCAAAGGTATTTTGAATCTGAAAAGAG